GAAAGACATTCGAAGGTTCATGGATGTAGCATACAAGATTCTCCATCAATCTGCTGGACCAAAACAGACCATGTCAAAACTTTCTAGATATTTGATTAATGGGGGACACTAGAGAGAGAGAGAAGGGAGAGGAGGAGAGTAAGAGGAGAGGGGAGAGAGGAAGAAGGAAGTTAAAGGGAAGAGAATGGAATTAAAATCCCCCTCTTCTTTGTCCTTCAAGGTAACTGTCAGTACAGGCATCTCTTTCATAGCTTTGACTAGGTATGAGAAGTGAATATGAGAGACAGAGCTGACTGTGAGGTCCTGACCTGGGCAAAAGCTTTGCATTCTTGTCAAGGCCATCAGCAGCCTCCGAATCCTTTAGAGTAAATTGCCAACTGAAGTCCAAGGCCTTTGTGTTACTATCAGAATGGACACACCCTCTCTCCTCTTATGTAGAGGTACCATTTTACAGTCAATACCAGCTGACTCTGTTAGCTAATGACATGATTCTGCATGTTTTTTCTATAAAGTAGAGGACGTGGCAAATGCATGGGGAAATTTGGGCAATATAAGAATGTTATTGGTATTGTGTTTTCTTCCATCCATATAGGTCATGATTTTTTTTAAGTTTATGAGCCAATATTATATATATATATATATATATATATAAAATCACTGATGTTTAAAACATTTCTGTTTCTCATCATACCTCATCGCTTCTATTTCTTGGCTCCTTTAGTGACCACCATGAGCCTGTGGAGTTTACCAATGACACAGGCCTTCTGTGTCCCGAGGCCCAGCATGATGAACTGGCTCTAACACTGCATTTATCTTACCATCAGTGTCCGTTTGGGACCATTCTAGACTTAAAATTCATTTGCATGTCGTTCTTCCTCCTTTATTCTTTTTCATTTGTTTTTTAAAAGATATTTCATCACATTCTGTGACAGAGAGAAGGAAAATGAATGAAAGGGAACTTCCGTTCATTCATAAACCTTTTACAGTGGTTTAGAAAGAATGTGTTGCTATCATTATAATCATTAGAAATTTTGTATTTTATATTTATTATAAAGCATGAAAAATGCAAAATTCTCCAAGCCATGAAATATTTGGATTAATTATAGAGTTCTCTGATTAAAATCCTTTTCTTTTATTGTATTTCGTAACTAGTTAAAATATGACTGCCTTCTACTTTATGTATTTTTGAAATGCATTATATAAGAGGACATTTAGCCTGAGTATCATTTATACATTTTCTACATTCAAATTAATACGAAATTTCCTCAAGAGATTTTTTTTCCAGTGAGCATCAAAAAAGCATTAGTGACCATATTTTTAATTCATTTATGGATTTAAAGTTATGTAACCTGTTGTCTGGGAGAGATGTCTCATTAACATATAAATACCTTTGACCTTATAACAAAAGTTAAGGGAAATATCGCTTAGCCTTCAGATTTGAAACCTAAATAGATGTAATTATTGTTTAATCAAGTAGATGTGGAAACAACTGTATAGTCTGAGCAGATATATAACAATATCTATATAAGTGACTGTTAAAATGTTAATGTGAGGGGAATGATAAGATGTTTTTTCACTGGGTTTTGATTTTAGTTTTCTGGAGAGTGTTTTATATGTTATTTAAAAATACGATATTTAGAGTCTCTTAAAGTGGGTTAGGCAGAGGTATTTTTAGCTCTCATGTGACTTAGGCATTTTGGCTGGTGTTGCAGAAGAGGAAAGTACACTTCTTAAATGGGAGATGCTTATCAAAAGCTTACAGAGCAAAATTCAGAGTTTGCCTTTGTCTTTATGGTCTCCTTCTAGAGCGAGCACATATCTGTTTTGAGATCTACATGCACAGTTGTTTTGAAAACTATATCAGAGATATTCAAGAAAAGTGAGATTAATAGTCTGGTATTAAACTATCTAACACCAGTTCCTAATTGTGCACACACACCAGTATGCATTGTTACCATAGTGAATTTAGACCTTGAATTCCTTTAGAGCCCCCAAGTTGTAATATCATAAACTAAATGACTGGGATTCGAGCTCATTGTCGCTTTATTTCCTTCTGAAAATGTGAGGTTATTGTGAAAATGTATTTCAGCATTCCATCATCAGGTGTAGGAAAAAAATGATTTAGGTAACATTTAAATACAATTGCCTTTTCAGCTCTCGAGACGCCCTGATAAAAGAGCGTTGTGCCAAAGGCACACACAGAAAGTTGTCATTTCGGGAAAGTTAGCAGCTGAGCTAATTGGCATACTTTGGCAAAGATGGCTGTATTTAAACAGAAAGAGCTGCCTTTGGTGTGCCCGGTGCTGACAGGGTTCCTGCAGCAGGCCTTTGAGGGGAAATTAATTCCCTGTAATCAAACACTGTGGATTATAGTCTTTGTTCCTCTCCACCTTGGCCACAGAAACAGCGCCAAGCCTTTTTAGACAGCATTACAAGAACTTTTGTAAAACAAGCCATGACATAATCCGAACCGGAGGGTTTCGCCTGCTCCATACTGTAGATGCAGAATGTAGCTCCTCGCTGCTGTGAGACTGAGAATCAAGGCTTTGTAAGCAACTGTGTGGATGAGGATTCATTCGATGAAGGAAAAGAAACTAACAGCCAAAAGCCTATATTTATGCAAAAGAAATCTTAGTGATGTCTGAAAATGGGATTTCTCTTTTTAAATTTTTTATTACATTGCGTGTGTGTGTGTGTGTGTGTGTGTGTGTGTGTGTGTGTGTGTGTGTGTAAGTTCATGTATGTGACAGTGAGTTTATGGTGGTCAGAGGACAACCTGCAAGAGTGAGTCGTCTCCTTCTACCACATGTGGTCTGGGGATCAAACTCAGGCTGTCAGAAATACGTCTTTATCTGCTAAGAAACCTTGCCCACCTTCAAAGTGGCTTTTAAAGCAGCACAGGGCTATTTGCTTTGGGAAATATTCCCGAGTAATTAGCAGATACCTTTGTAGACACATGCACAGTTAAATAAGTATGTATGCAGATACGCTCGGTACGTCTATGGAATCTTGAAATGGCTTTACAAACAGTGAACTTCTGCAAGTTGTGCCGTTCTTAACCCACGACAACAGAAAAGTTTTTCTCTGTAGGATAAGGTAAACAATGGCAGAGAGTCAAGGAAGGAAAACAAAAAGTAAAAAGCTAGAGAGAAAATGGTCCAGGTTCAAGGTGGTTTTTGGTTGTTGTTTTGTTTTGTTTTGCCCTAACTTCTGATCTTTGAAGGTAGAAAGCAGAAGTTTTCATTATTCTCATAGCCTTGCCTTCTATACATCCCAGGGGCTTTCTTTGTGTTCTGTGGACATCCTCAGTGTCTACCTAGACCTGGAGAAGATATTACACATCCTATATTACATTCTTGTGCCCAAGGGAGGACTTTGCCTCTTCTTATGGAAGCTTGGGTGAGGGTTTTGTAACTGTCACACCAGGCAAATATTCTATCCTTGTCTCTTTTATTACTATTTATTACATTATGAACGTTGTCTCAAAACCAATCTAGAATATCTTTTAAATGGAGAAAGAGTACATTCCTGCATTCCTCTCCAAAGTTCCTAAGTGCGAGTATTTATCACAGGCATGCACCACTATGCACAAGTAAGGTTTAGCTTGAAGGTCACTAGCCCACTGCCAATGTATATGTAAATATATACTTATTGGACCAATGAATTTCCAACAGAAAAGGAAAAGAGTTGTGTTTTCATTTACAGTCATGTAACTAAAATTATACTTTATAATGCAAGTAATGAAGGCTTGAAAGATGGCTCCATGCTTAAAAAAGCATGTACCATTTTTGTAAAGGATCTGAGTTCTGTTCCTATCACTCTGGTCAGATGATTTCAGCAGCTCCTTGAAAATCCAGCTCCGTGAGATCCAATGTTTCTGGCCTCTACGGTCACCAGAACTCACTTGTGCTTACCCACACACAGATAAACACACACATGTAGCTAGAGTTTTCCTGCCTTGCCCACAGTCAGGACAAATCTCTGTCACCCGCCAGTCCCACAGCCGCTCAGACCCAACCAAGTAAACACAGAGACTTATATTGCTTACAAACTGTATGGCCGTGGC